GTTCAGTACTCAGCACTTCCACAAAGAAAGCAGAATTCAGACAAAATAAGGAAGGCAAACTTCAGAGCTCAGAGATGTACAACTTAGGTCTTAAAGAGGCCTGTTTCCAGCTTAATAAAAAGAAAGAATTCTTTACAGTTTTTTATAAATACAAGTTGCTAATTCCTTCAAAGCTATGAAGCCAAATATCTAGTCAAGATTTAGACAGACTGAAGAATGATCTGCAAACATCACTTAGGCATTTAAAGGGCCATACTTCCCTGTGCCAAAAAAGCATTGTGGAAAAGAACTTCATGCTCTGGTCAAATGTACCCCCACTGGAGCAGGATTTTCCTCCAATTGGATCATGAGTCTCATTCAGTACGGTAATTACAGAAACAATGTTTGGGCTGAAAACATGGGACACTGGGTTTCCAGTTTCAAATATGAGTCATAATAAAAATTATTTTTATTAGCATCCCCTAGAAACCCACAGCATGTCTTTGCATTTTATTAGTTGTAGATCTATAAGCCTTTAAAAATCTCTTAGCATAGGGCATTATGTATGAGAGACTCAAAAGTGTGAACAGATGGGTAAAATGACTGCACAGAGTTTACATGCAAGATTTGAAAGACTGATGAGTTTTAGTGGAAGTCTCATTTCAAATAATGGAATTAATGTTCAACACTTAAAAAGCCAAACATAAAATGACGGAAAAGTACGAGTAGTGTTCTGGGCATCCACCTGCCTTTTGCCTACTTTCCCAAGGAGAAAATATAAATAAAGAAAGTATGCTCTACAATCATTGTACCAGAATTCTATCAGGGTTTACTGTTGTGTAGAAAAGGAAAGCAGAGAGCACATTCACAGATTCCCACTTCACCTATTTTGACACATATTTTTGACATAACTCCAATGTGGGGTTTGTTTATTACTTCACCCTGTTCCAGAAAAAAATGAAAGCAAGTTACAAAACCACATAATGACTCTAAGTAAAATAAGCAAGAAAAAAGGGTGGGGTTAAAAAAAAGCCAGGGATGATGTCAAAACATGTGCACTGCAAAGACCTATATGTACTTAATATGGGTGGGGGACACATTTGGTTCTGGTTTTCTAATGGTCTACGCAAAAAGAGAACAATGTCACAAAATAAATGCAGCTGATCAGAAAAAAGATTACATTTTTTTGGACATAAAGAACAGAGGTTTTCCCCCAGAGCTTTTCTAAAGAGGGTACTATATGATTTAATAAGCAATGTCGGCAGCACTCTTAACTATGCACGATAGTTTCGTGGCTGATTCTTACTGTGAACTTGAATGTAGGTAATAGCACTATACAAAAGATTACCTAACAAAATATTATGGAGTGGGTCAATGCTAAAGTCAAGAATTGTGAAGGGTTGGGATTTTACCGTATGTGCAAGCCAACCCGCACACTTCACGGATGCTGGCAGGAGACACAAGGATGCTGGGTCAAAGACAAAGGACAGTTATTTACACCCAGCAATAGTTGTAGCCTGAATATCAGCATCTGTGCTCATTCTAGGAGCCCCAGTTTCCGCAGGACCACACCAAGAGCTACAGGTGGTACCCAAAAACATGCCACAGGTTATATTACAAGAAAGGAAACCCAAGCTTAGGGAACTTGAATCTTTGATAATAGACAATGAGCATGTGTTCCCTTTGCCCCAGAGGGAGACTTTATCTTTATTACATGAATCAGTAAACAAACTTCTCTCTTCCAAGGCTGTTTGCTGTAGCAACATCATTGAAAAGGTAGTCTGGAGCACAGGGAATCAGTGCCTCTTCTCAGAGGACATCCAGAAATGTGAGAGACTCTTGGAGAATTACCTCCCTTCCCCAACAATCGTACATTCCAAGTCATAGTCTAGCTTTCTCTGGCTTGATACCTTTAGACAATATGGAGGAATTGAGGGATTCTGCTTCATTTGACCCTTATTCGTCTTAACATATAGCATTCTTATCAGATTCTAGTCACTGGGTACAGTGATAGACAAAAATAGGCATGGTCCCCTGCCTTCACAGAACAGAGGGAAAATGCAAGTATAGTTTATGGGATTTTCCAGAAGTTCTTCCTAAATGTTCTTTCAACAAAAGTTTTTCGTAATAAACTTTATTTTTTTAGAGCATTTTTAGGTTCACAGCAAAATTGAGCAGAAGGTACTTAGATTTCCCAAATACCTACCCCTGGCTCCCACACATGGAGAGATATGCTACATACCCCTGGCCCTCCCATTACCAGCATCCCCCCACCAGTGGTCTTACCATGTGTTATAAGTGATGAACCTCCAATGACACACTGTCCTCATCCAGAGTTCATATCTTACATTAGGGTTCATTCTTGGTGTTATACACTCTTATGGGCTTTGAATAAATGTGTAAAACAACTTTTTTCAATCTGAGATTCTACATCTCACAAACAGAGCTTCACATTTCTGTATTTCCAGGTAAATACAGACACAGGTGCCTGCAGAGGCATTTGAACCAGGACTTAGGTTTGGCACTCTCTTGTGACACCTGGGAGACGTACGGGGTGTGTGTGTGTGTGTGTGTGTGTGTGTGCAAATTCTTCGACAATCATCATCTCCAATCTACCCACAGGCAAAGGTAATTCTTCCTTAAAAAATGGCCTTAAATCCTCCAGTGGTTACATGACCACAGCCCTGACGTTTTCCTCTATGAGCAAGGCCCTTAACAGTTCTTCTGGACTATTTGTCTACCTCCTGTTGGGGCTGAGACTCTGACATGATAGAAAACTTTTTGTTTGTTGAGAAGGTAAAATGCCTTCTCTGACGTGGTCCGTTTCTTTAGGACGTGCCTCCTTCAGGATCTCAGGAGACCTCTATACTTTCAGGGCCTTCCATGAATGTTCATTGTCCCACTAGCTATAGTAATGCAACCAACTTTTTCTGACAAAATACTAATCAGAGACTGACCTTTGTTTAATTAGCCCCCAGTCAGTTCCAATCTGCAAATAACAATTGCTAATGTAGACCTGATTTAGCCCACAGGCCAAGCAGACACTGATTCCTGAATTCCATTACCTAACCTTCCGGCCGGCTTCTCACACTGTTTTAAAGAACCAGCCTTTCTTCCCCCCCCCAATTTTTTCTCTTTTTTTTTCCCCCCCCAAAAAAAAAAAAAAAACCCTGTCATTTCCTGCTAGCATAGTGGCCTCACTGGCTTAACTTGATGGCAATGGATATAGAAGTAGAATCAGCAGTGCCAGCTGGATGAATGTCTAAACTGGGGGTTTGAGAGAGCTGCCTATTCAAGTAAAAAATTAGAGACGAAAAAGACCTGTTAAATAACCCAATCCCCTCGTAGCCAGTGCCAGAGCATTCCTGTGCTGGAAGCTTAGCCGGGGCCAGCTCTAAATGACTTTAACAATGTGCCTTCTCACGCTTTATTTGGAAGACGGGGCCATCTCTTCAGTGTGTCTTTTTTCTTTTAGTAAGTTTTTTGACTAGAATTTCATTGGACCACCATTATTCCATTTCCCTTTTACTGTTTTGGTTCAGCTACAGCAACCGCATGAAATAAGCTATTTTCAAAGAGTTGATTTAAATGACAACATTTAAAGTGCTTTATTAACCCAGTCATTCCAGCAATGCCTGTATTTGGGGTCATGTGATGTAGAGAGAGAGAGAGGATACACATGGGCTTTGGAGGTGGATGTACCTGTGTTAGAATCATAGTTCTGCTTAATTGGGGGATTTATTATTGTCATTATTTTTGTTGTTTTCATTGACTATCATTTATGATATGCTTCCTGTGTACCAGGCATTATGGTAAGTACTGTCCAAAAGTCCTGCTAGCAAATTTGTGAAATTGGTACTGTCATCTCTATTTTTGAATTTAAAGTGTAGTAATGAAGAGTGGAAGCTCTGGGCTTAAATTGTCTGATTAAAATGCCGGGTCTGTTACTAGCACCGTGACCTTGGGCTTTTCATTTAACCTCCCTATGGCCAGTTTCTGTGTAAAATGGGGGTGATGGCAATGCCTGTCTCCTAGGTTATTGTAAGGAATACATATGAATAGATGTGAATTGATCAGATCAGTGCCTGGCGTGGAGCAAGCCCTTAAATGTAACCAGTTTTGATGAGATATAGATGGAGAAATTTGTCAAAGGCACATAGCATCCAAGTTTATACCCAGCCAGTTCTACTCCAAAGGCCATCCAAATTATTAACCATTAGAATACACTGGCTTGGTCAGGACTCTTAACCTCTCTGAGGCTCAGTTTTTTCTCACTGGTGAAACAGAGATAACACAAGATCTCCTGTGTAGTCACTGTGAGGATTAAAATGCAATAATGTTGGTAAAGACACTATTACAGAGCCTGTCCCAGAGTTGGGGATCAATTAGTGATAGTGATCTCTCTATATCTCCACATCTATAGAATATCCATAGGTATTGGGTTGGCCAAAAAGTTTGTTCGGGTTTTCCTGTAACATCAGTCAGGAAAAACCCAAACGAACATTTTGGCCAACCCAATATATATCTGTGTGTATATCTATGTATGCATGCATGTGTATTATATATAATGAATAGCTGTGTAGCCAATGACTTACTCTTAAAAGTTTCTCATGATATTGGAACTTCCAAATGGTTCAAAGTGAATTTTTATGAGCTTACTCCCCTTTGAAAGAAGAATTGGATTGGTTTACCAGATAATTAAAAACAGTTTCCTTCCGAATAAGGTTTCATTTTATATTTTTAATGTTCCAGTGGTTTTAAAGATGTCTTTTCTGGATTTTTAAAAAGAGTTCATCACATGTTTCAAAATTGCCCAACTACTTTCTCTTTCATAAATATAGTTTGACCATAATTTCAAGTTTTATATCATAGAAGGAAGAGAAGAGACAGACAGTTACAACCTAGCAGGAAATGTGATGATATGTTTTTGCTGCTGTGCGTTTTTTTTTTTTTTTTGATGTGTGTGTGGGAAAGGGTGTGATGTCATTTTGTCTCCACCCCCTGTGAGTAAGCCCACAGCATAGCTAAGTGCAGCCGCCCTCCTCTGTCACCGAGAGACAGTCCACTTAAATGCAGCTCCAGGGTTGCGGGACTCCCACCAGCATCACTCCCCGTGTGAGGTGGCAAATGCAACATGCTCTCCAGCTTGGGGTGTCTACTTCTCTGTGGAAGTATTGCACTAGCCCTGGGAAATGCACAGAAATTGCCAAAAGGCAAGTAGCTCTGATGTTTTGTGTTTTCAGAATAATGTTTAAAAGATACTAGTTTTTAAATGTTGATATTAAATATGATCTACTTTGCCAGATGGGGGGAATAGAGTTCTTCTCGGAGAGTCAGAATTCAAATGTGTGGAGAAGTAGCTTAAACTTTTGCTTCCCCACACCCCCCTCTATTTAATTTTCAGTTGGATCTCTTTATTGCAAAAGATGAAAACCAACTTCTTATTAGATTTAGCAGATGTTCACAGTAGCTTGAATGGTATAGCTTCAACTACAGTATTTGTATAATGAATTGTATGGTATAGATGGGTATTATACAGTCTGCTGAAAAGACTTGTTTGGTGTTTTTATCCCCCTCCTCAGAGACTAAATCAGTGCTAGCTGAAGGTTTAAAAGAAGCTAATTTGAAACCTAGAATCTTTTGTGTAAACCTCACACATACCTGTTAGCTTGGAGGCTGAAGGATTCTAGGCAGGGCACACTGAAAAAGAATGGTCATGTGCTGATATATAGACACTTCTCTCTGGTGGAATTTGGAAGAGGGTTTGATCTGCTGGACATGACACTCCTTTTCCTGGCTAAATCGCTCTCATTTTAGTGTTGGTATTTTGTTTACAAACGTCATCAGAAGAAAATGAAAATATCTTAATTTAGACTCTAAAAACAATCTCTTGAGCCCATCAGCACCAAAACAAGAGCTTACCTCTCTCCTATCTTTGAACATAAATGTTGCAGGTATTTTTTTGCTCCTTTGCAGAGGCATTTTCCAAGCCAACTTCAGGTCTGTGAAGGCTTTTTATGGTTGCAGACTGCTGTAGTCAGCAGGATTAGGAAAAACAGGCTGGAATTTTCATACAGTTATGATGGAAAATATCAGAGGCAATGCAGAGCCATGAGCTTGTCAAAACCCTGCTGTGCATAGAGTCGGAAAGAAAGATTGTTCAGGTCAGAATATCCAAAGATCCTGCTAGGTCCTCCCTCTGGGTAGTTTGCTCCAAGATCATCTTGTCCCAAGTGCAAACCATTCTCTCTTCCGTGTATTAAGTGAAACTTGAATCCAGAGCGTGAAAGCTGAAGGGTTTGGCTAGTTGATATTTCACATGATGATATAAAAAGCAATAAAAAAGGCTGAGTAAACCTTTTCAACTCTACGATAACTCTGCAAAATAAAATAAAATAAAAATATACACTACTAGATCTTTCTCTTCTATCAAGTATTCTGTTTCTTGATCGTAGTAAAAGTGTTTAAATAAATCAGTCATGAGCCACAAGCATTCAGAATTAACTGTTCCTACTGCTAAAATATTTAACAAGGACCCACCATCTGAGAAAAGTCTGGAGTTTTTCTCAGGCTTAATACCTCCAAATGTTTTTATTTTACCTTGTATTTACTGTGTAGAGATGAGAGCCGTAATTTTGTGACTGCAGACTTCTGCAAATTCCAAATGCTTTAATTATCATGTTGCAATCACTAGATGCAAATCTCTTGACACAATTTTCCTTTATTTGTTATGGTAAAAAAAAAATTGTCAAAAGCAGCCACAGAACTTTTGTCTTGTTCATTGCACTTTAATCTGAAGTATTTTCATCCAGGTTTCTTTTGTAATTTTAAAAAAAATATCCATAGGTTCAGTAATTTGAAAAAAAAACTATCAAATTAATATAATTATAAAATAAATGGCAAGTCTCCTTGTCTCTAATGCTAAGTTTTTTCTTTATCATTGAAGCTACCAAGGGACTTTCTTTCAGCTGAAGTTGCCTTTTTTCAAACTGCATTCCAGGAATAGGCATACTGTCCTCAAAAGGGGTTTGGGGCAGGCATCTTCTCCCCGTCAATTACTTGGGGAGCGTTCATGCTTTTTTCTGTTCTGGGGTGGGGTTACAACAGACTTTAGAACTTGACAGGTTCTGAAAATTTCTCGGTAAAGAAAACTGTCCCACCTATTTAACCCACTGTTTCCCAAACTCGTTTGACTAAGAGTCCTTTTTCTAGTGGAATAGCTATTATATCTTGCCAGGGGCTTATTTTTCACATTTGGGGAAATACTGAGATAAATTAAAAAAAAAAGAGATAAAAGGTTTTTTCTTTTCTTTTTCCTTTCTACTTTAGAGTTAGTTAAATATCATTTGTCATTTAAGAAGAGTATAGAATTTTGGAGCTAGGAAGGATGTTAGTGATCACCTAGGCTAGGGTTTCCCAGATCTTTGGATTTATGGACCCATAAAAATACCTATTTTTTTTTAATATCAGGGTCCCATTATAGAGAACATACTTGAATTATGCCATGTGAGAATGTTGAAAGGAGGGAAACCCCCATTGCTCATAAAAGCTAACCATTTTTAACAGATTTATAAAACAAATGAATTGATACAAATAAGTCCATTGTTTTATTTTTCTCATTTTACCACAGACTGATGAAAACTTCATCACAGGTCAATATTTGGGAACCATTGACCAGTATAACCATTTATTTTACAAATGGAGGCACCCAAATGCAGGGAGATTTAGTAACTTTCCCACATTGATGACAGAACCAGGACTGGATCCCAGGTTCCTGACTGGATATCTGTGTTCTGCTCTGTTCCGACCCAAATCTTAGGAGTTAAGTTCTGTAGTGTACATGTGAATGCTGTCCTTCCCTTGAATAAAAGGTTTCTTGTAAAGATTTTAAACATTATCCTAATCTTCACATTTTCCCTAGAACCTGTCTGCTGCGTGTGTGTGTGTGGGGGGGGAGGTGGCGTATAGTTGATAAATATAAATACAGCTGACTATTTATAGGGAAAAGAAATTACTTTTTAAATAAGAAATCACTTCTTACGTGTCTTATGCATACTTGCATACATAGCCACATACTTTGTTATAGAAAATAAGATACTGCAAGAGTCTTTGTTACTTTTTAAAAGCTTAAAGTCTGAGAGTATTATTAATGGACCTCTTCTCCTCCCTACCCCTTGATGACTATGTTCTTTGGCAAATCATTTACCTTTGCTAAGCCTCAGCTTTCTTATCTGTAAAATGGGAATAATGATAACTGTCTTACAGTATTTTAGGAGTAAATGAGGTAAGAGTTGCAAAACTTTTAGTAAAGGGTCTGACATATAACATAAATGTTTATTGGGTTGCAGAAAAGTATATCAATACCGAAAAAAATATGCACACCAAATAATATGTGATCTTGTGTCCAGACTATCTGACAAACCTCTGGGAGGGTAGCAAATGAGGTGGCATGTTCTTGGTGAAAGGTGGGGCAAGGGAGCTGTGTTGCTCTGCAGGACAATGAGAGAAGGACTCTACTGTTTTCCAGCCCGACCTTCCTCAACCGAATGTTTGACTGTCAAGTTTAAACACTGCTTTTCTCTATGGAAAGCTGCACCTTTGCCCTAGGATCAGCTTTCCTGTGGGGACTGATAAAGCCTTACAGATCCTCCAGGAGAGATCCTCTTGAACTTGTTTTTCAGGAGGAGAATTAGACCATAATACAGGCTCTGAAGAATTCTCACATTGTTTTATATCCTTGAAAGCCCCTATGCTCCAGATACCCCTAGGAGTCTTTATTCTTGGAACCATAGAACTTTTCTTCCCTGGCATACAGGCAGAAATAAAAACCACAGAGAGTAATATGTATGTAGTATAATGGGACATGAGAGGCTTGACACACCTCTGAAGAAACTCCTGTGTTTGGAAAATTGCAGTCAGTTAGCAGGCAAAGGCTACTATTTCTAGGCAGCTCTATCAGTCCTCCTGATGTAGGCGTGAGGAAAACCAGAGAGGAGCATCTCCAATACAAGTGTGATCAGATGGCCCGAGGGAATGAGGCTCTTGGCCGTGACTCTTGGCAAGTGCAGAGGGAAGAAGTAGCTGGCTTTTGGCCTCAGGTTCTTACCTGACAGGGTAGAAATCTCTGGCTCCAAGGAGAAAAAGAATCGCAGGGCAGATGATGTTAATAACAGTAACTCCCATAGCTATCAATAACTCATCGCTATTATTATAGATAACATTATTTGAGCTCATATTGTTTGTGGTAATTTAGGGCTAAATATTTTTAATGTCGAAAACTAACTAAATGCTCGAAGTTTCCCTATAAAGCAGGTATTTTGTTTTTTACATCTTTATTAGAGTATAATTGCTTTACAATGGTGTGTTAGTTTCTGCTTTATAACAAAGTGAATCAGTTATACATATACATATGTCCCCATATCTCTTCCCTCTTGCGTCTCCCTCCCTCCCACCCTCCCTATCCCACCCCTCCAGGTGGTCACAGAGCACCCAGCCGATCTCCCTGTGCTATGCGGCTGCTTCCCACTAGCTATCTACCTTACGTTTGGTAGTGTATATATGTCCATGCCTCTCTCTCGTAAAGCAGGTATTTTATTACTCTCCATTTACAGAGGATAAAATTGTACCTCAGAGTGTTTGCCCAAAGTCATCCAGCCAGCAAGTGGCAAAAGACCATACCTTTAATTTCTATGTAATATCAGTTCCTTGCTCTACATAAAGATATGTTAATTTGTTCAAGTAACAAACTGTATTCCATGTATATGCAGAGCACTGAGGCTGGGAAGACAAGGTTTTGTCTTCCTGACCAGCTGACGGAGAAGACAGGGCTGTAAAGGGATAATTACATTAGAGTGAGGACATCCTCTGATTTGGCTGAAGCGCAAAGAACTTTGAGAACAATCAGAAAGGGCCCAATCCAGACTAGAGGGGTCAAAAATTATGAGGGGATAAGGCACCCAAGTAGGAGCCTGGAAGACAAACATACATTGGGGCAAGGAGGAGAGTAGTGGAAGGGCCTTCCCGACAGGGGTAGCTGCATGGCCAGAGCCCAGGCCACCTCCAGGGGCCAGAGCCCAGCAGGTGTTAAAGTACCCAGAGGGAAAGCCAAGACTGAGTCCACACTGGATGTGACTGTGTCTTCCTTGTCTCTATCTGTCTTGACTCCCCAAGATGGATTACAAAGCAGAATTAGCAGATTGTCTTTGGAGAAGAG